TCAAATGGAGAATCACGGGTATCTAAAGAACAAATCAGAAACTTGGCGACTGCTCCGCACCCTTGATCATCAAGAAAAAATTCCGTGGGTGTGCATTGGTGATTTCAACAAGGTCATGTTTAGTTATGAGAAACAAGGGGGAATTTCCCGTAGCCAAACTTGCATGCAAAATTTCCAAGATGCCCTTTCTTTTTGTGATCTTAAAGACCTCGGCTTTGAGGGTGGTGTTTTACTTGGAGAAATAATGATTTTTGTTGAGGGCTATATCCGTGAAAGACTTGACAGGGTTGTTGCCAATCCAGCTTGGTGTGATTGTTTTCCCGGTTATAAGTGGTAAATGAAGACCCGCATAAGTCTGATCATTGGCCGGTTATCCTGGACGTCGAGGGAGGGAGACCTATGAGGCAAAACAGAACACTCGACACATTGAAGCAGTTCAAGGCAAAGTGGTTGATGGAGAAAGATTGCGATGCCCTCGTGTTGAATGCATGGGAGGCTGCAAAGACACGTACGTGGGGCTGCAACAGTCTCCAGGGAGTGCCTTCTCTCCGTTGTGGCTGGAGTAGGAATGATTTGGGTGACTTGGCTAATAAAAGAATAAAGAAGATCAAGAGGGAGTTGGAGGCCTGCCCGGATATAGTGCGCTATGAGCAAGTTCTTCTATTCCAGTTGAACAGGCTGGAGGAGCAACAGGAACAAATTCCTGGTATCAAGTTTACTCATGCCTCTGCGGTTCAGCTGCCGGCAAGAATCCATGAACCTACCACGGAAAAGGGTCCTGAATAGGCAAGCTATATGTTTTGGAAGTTTCCCCGCGCTGAAAGTAAGGGCAGTGCATTCATGGCCCTGCCACACTCAGTCTCCACCCAACATATTACATATGATCAATTAAGAGATTGACAAAGATTCACATGAGAAGGCAAAGATGGTAGACGACCAATCTCTGAATGATGACTGGAATTCTAACCCCAGGTTTATCCTTCGCAGAAACACTCCTTAGCACGCGAGCGTTGGAACGAGCCATCTTGCTTCGCCCCACGCGTTGTCGGTAGCCAGGGACAGAAGGGCCCACCCACGCCTGCATTTCCGATCTGAGCCGTAGCATACGTCACGGGTTCCTTCCTTACTCTCTCTCCCTCGTCAACTTAATCTCACCACCGCCCCCTAAATTCAACGGTTTCCCTCAAACATCTCTCCCCTGATTTGGTAAAAACTAAAAAGGGAAAATTTTGGCCTTCGTCATGTTTTGGACTATAGGATTATGGGCATTCTGATTCAGAGATTATGCGGATCTGGTCGCTACATTCCATCCATCCCTCCCTAGGAGATTATTTTCGATCGTCTATATTTTATTCCAACTGTCAACTTACATTCCATCCCGCCCATGCATTTTACTCTTCTCCTGTTGCAATTGTTTTTAGTTTTTAGTTTTTTTTTTTGCGGATTTGTCTTTTTACTCTTCTCCTGTTGCAATTGTTTTTAGTTGGGAATTGTTGGAAAAAGGCAGCAAATGGTTGTTATGGAAACCCAAGATTTCCATAATCCCTTCAAATGTAACCTCTCCTTTGCCCAATATACCTTCACCCAAGATACCATACTAGTACCTCTGTCCCTAAATAAATATATTTAGGGTGAGCATTTTGGTAAAAAGCAAACTACTCTCGTCAAGTATTCAAATTTGGGCAATAATATTTCTCAGAATAAGGAGGGAAATCCCTCTGCCTTTATAGATGGGTACCAAAACATACCAACACATCCGAGCGTTGATGGCGGGATACTGGTACACAGAGGAAGTCCCTCGTTCGTTCATAAGGTAAAGCGGGAATTTTTGGAAGAAAAAACAGTCTCCCGTACGTGGCAGGAGACATGTGCAGCCCTTTCAGTTTCATCAGAGGCACACTGAATGTTTGCATTCTGCCATTCAGAAATCTGATCATGTTTTTAACAACTGTCATATATAAGGCCATGCCACCTATGCTGACATTCTCCCGATCAGCAAGCTCTTGACCTGTGCAAGAAGCTCCACTACACTTTGTTGCGTTTGCAATCAAGGCTTAACCTGTGCCTTGTTTCTGGTCAGAATGCACTCTCTATTGCTCATGTGGAGAAGAGAACCTGCGACACTGCATTCGCCCCTCTGCTCTCACCAGGGTCTGATGGCGCTGATGAGATGGGTCTGGAGCTCTCTGAAGAATTGGCCATGGATTGCAGCAATGAGCAGATGGATGACACTACTACTGAAGAAGAAATGAACTCTGGTTCAGAAATAAGTATTGAAACTGCTGTGTGAAACTTGGATATTACTCATGGTCCGATGGAAGAGCACGCTCACAAAAATCGCAAGAAGAAGACACACCCAGAGATTGACGTCACTAAAGTGATCTCTGTTACCGATGAAGAACAGAATTACATTCCAGACCTGAACCTTGAGGAAGTGACACAAAACCTGGCCCGCTCTGACCTGCTGCAACATGAGTCAATGACTGAAGGCAACACACGCAAAAATCGATCGCAAGAAGCAAGTACATGCAGAGATCGACACTACCCAGCTCCGTCGCAGCACACGCGCTAACAAGTATGACACACACACAAAAATCACCATACATTAAAAAAGTTTACTATATATATATATATGAAAATCACTGTAATTAAATAAATGTTCAATGTGTATTTAAAAATTATTCATCGTATATTAGAAAATATATATTATAAAAACTAAAAAAAGTAAAAGAAAAAGCATAAGACAAAAAAAACAAGAGGAAAACCAAATCCAGAATAAAAACCCGATTTTTTTATAAATTAATAGAATCCAGAAATAAAAGAAAGACCAAAACACAAAAGCCACAAACAAAAAAAATAAACAAAACAACGAACGAAAAAACAAAAGGGTGCAGTGAAGTTCGAACTAGGCCGGCCCATGCCGCTGCACCTTTGAGCGTTGTCCCATACTTTTGTCGCCCGCGGGCGGGATTTGCCGTGAGAAGTCCCTAGGAACTATCCTTGATAAATATTATGGACGAATTTTTCACTTTTCAAAGATCTGAAGCGGGGCGTGCCGAAGCATGACTACTTATTTCTACTAGCATTTTCTTACATAGTCGCATCAATACGCAGTGTCGGTCTCTCTTAACTCTCACAGTCGATCAGCAGCTTATTTGCATCATACTCCAAAATGATGTCGAGGATAACACCGAGCAGGGTTGCAATGGTGTCGAAGCGAATGTGGGGAAGAGATGAGAAGGCAGGGTTCTGAATCTGAGCAGGGTTGCATTGCTTGTACTGAAACTTTTTTCAGAGTTCATGGAGATGTTTGAGTGAACATTCAGACTTGTACCAACACTAAACCTTTGTTTCACCGATATATCAAATTCATAAGTACTGGCTGGTGCTACATGATATCTTAAATACGAGGAGGGAAATGGCGTGGAGGTGGACCGCTTAGATCAGGACCTGACATTTCAGAGTAACCGTTCCATGTATGGGCCTTTTGTTGGTACTCAAGATTGGACACACTGGTCACTTCCAGGGAGCAGTGGCAAGTTTTGATTATTGGTTATATACAGGTCTTTCACGAGATACTAGTACTGAACATGACATGGTCCTTGCAGTTAACTAGTTCACAGCTGTGCTATACAATTAGTTGATCAAAAGTACTCCCTCCGCTCCGAGTTACTTGTCGCTCAAATGGATGTATCAGTTGTAGATACATCCATTTGAGCGACAAATAATTCGGGACGGAGGGAGTATGCTAATAAGATAGTTTCCTGAATCCAAACCATGCACAGATATGATCTACATATGAATCAATCCCCAAACAGACCACAACAGAAATATTGCAGTTCACAAGCTTCTATCATGCATAGACATCCAGATATATACAACAGAAACATGCCAGCAATGGGGGACATCTATGTAAAGTGAAAGCAATAGTCCATCTGCACCTCAACTAGTACTTGATTAAAAATATGCTAGTAAGTTAGTTTCCTGGATCCAAGATACACAGAGATATGATCTACACGTGCATCAATCCCCATCGAACATACCACACACACAAAAAATCTCACAATTAACAAGCTATTACCATGTATAGACATCCAGATACAAACATGCATTGATGTACAGTGAAAGAAAGTCCATCTAAACCTCAACTAGTACTTGGTAAAAGGTATGCTATCATCCTCAATCCAAACCATAGAGAGATATGATCTACATATATGCCAGACCACAAAACAAACATCTCTCAATTCACAAGCTTCTATCATGCATGTAAACCATGGCATATCGATGGAATTAGTCCATCTACCCCTCAACTAGCTAGTACTTTGGATCCAAAGGTATGATCCCCATGTATTGAACAGACAAAAAAACAAGCATCATTATTCACATGTTTTCTCAGTGGACAAGACAAGGGGGCTGCAACTGGGATGAAAATGTACCTGGTTATGACGTAGTCACAGTGAAATTTCATCTATAAAGCTACTGTGTGATCTGATTGACACTTGCTGGCAATATAAGGTGACAAGGTAATTGTTCAGAGCAGCAACTCTGTTCTGCATACAGATGGCATTTGGTTTCCTAACAAAATGGGTACTGTCTTTCAGCAGAGTTCATGCTACACTAGATACATATGTAGACCAGCAAGTGCAGAGTTGCATATCTTTATTTTTATTTTGACAATGAAAACTTGTGTTTTAAAGTAATTAGCAGCAAATGCTGCCGTGAGAAACTTGATTCAGCCAGGACAAAAATTCAGGAAGCAAGAACACTACTTGACTTCATCATATCATTCAAGCTAGTAGACCTCAAATACTTGATTTCATCATTCATGCAAAAGCAAATTGCACATACCAAGACAAAAACTGTTACAAGAGGCTAGAATGTTTCAGGGACAACATTTAACTAGGATGAAACTTCATATCCAAGAAACTAAGACTCGAACCAAACTTTGAACTCCCAGTTAATCCAGCTATCACATGTCACTTGATCATGTTTCAAGTGCTTCAGTCATGGTAGCGGAGCTTTTCCTTGGGCCGGATGTCATTGCTGTGGCCGCACTTCTTCTTGCGGCAGTTGGCAGACCTGAGGGGTAGACGCGCATAGCACCTGCAATGCACAATCATGGACAAGTTAGGATATCATAGACTCTTGTGAATGACTAATACCTGTAATAAGGCAAATAGGGTAATGCATCAACTAATACTTGATGAAAAGTATGTTAATAAGCTAGGTTTGTGGATCCAAACCACATAGAGATATGATCTACATACGCATCGATCGCCATCAAACAGAACACAAAACAAACATTTCAATTCACAAGATTGTATCATGCATAGACATCCAGATACAAACATGTCAGCAACTGCATATCATGAAAGAAATAGTCCATCTACACCTCAACTAGTACTTGATGAAAAGCCTGCTAATAAGCTACTAATTCCCTGGATCCAAACCACACACAGATATGGTCTACATATATGCATCCATGCCCATGGATCAGACCGCAAAAGAAACATCACATTTCACAAACTTCTATCATGCACAGACATCCAGATACAAGCATGTAAACAACTGCATATCATAAAAGAAATAGTCCATGTACACCTCAACTAGTACTTGATGAAAAGTATGCGAATAAGCTGATAGTTCCCTGGATCCAAACCACCCAGAGATATGATATGATCTACATATGCATCAACACCCATCAAACAGACCATGACAGATCATGGATAACAAGCATGCATTGCAACAGCAGCATATATCAACGCCTAGTAGAAGAAATACTCCATCTATACACCTCAACTAGTACTTTATAAGAAGTATGCCAATAAGCTAGTTCCTGGATCCAATTTAATCATGGGAATAAGGTAGTTCTTGGATCCAAAATAACCACACAGGAGATATAATGATCCCCATTGAACAGACCACAGTAGAAACATCTAAATTCACAGGCTTTTATCATTCATAAGCATCCAGGAATGCATGTAACAGCGCCAATTCAGTGGTATAGTAAAGGAAACAGTCCATACTTGCGGCAGACGAGCTTCTGCTGATTGTACTTGAGGGCAAGCGCAAGCAGGTTCGGCTCCATCTTGGACGGGTAACAGGAGCCCTTGTCCCCGCCGATGATGCACAGGACGAGGTGAAGGGTGGAGTCCTTGTGGATGTTGTAGTCTGCCAGGGTGCGGCCGTGGTCAAGCTGCTTCCTGGCGAAGATGAGGCGCTGCTGGTCCGGCTGGATACCTGCGATCATTGAAAGTTTGAAACCAACACAGCGTTCACAGTTAGTTCAGCACCTAAAGACGCCCACAGTTTGATCCAGGGGATACCGAAATTGAACTGTAAATCGAGCAGAGCAGCTGCGGAAACAGAGCAGCTGCTCAGATCCAGGCACATAACCTAGGAAAAGAGGGCAAACTACAGCATTATCCAACCAAATCCCTGGATGATGATTAAGCACAAAAATTACCGCATGCCTAATTTCTAGCCCAAAATTCCCGTCACGCATGTCAAACTGCTCTGTTTCGGGGCAAGGTTACCGAGCAAAATAGAGCGATTTGAGCTGAGCACACGCGCGACTGGGTGGGGAGGATCGGTTGAGTTCGAGTAGATGTAGGCGGTCATGGGCGAAGGCTCGTACCTTCCTTGTCGTGGATCTTGGCCTTGACGTTGCCGACGGCGTCCGAGGACTCCACCTCCAGCGTGATGGTCTCCCCGGTCAGCGTCTTCACGAAGATCTGCATCTCGCCGCCGGTGGCTCTCGCTCTCGCTCTCCTCTCGTCTCGCTGGGCTTGGGGTGGTGAGCTGCTGGGGGTGGGGGTGCGGGTGGTGCGGGTGAAAGCCGAGTGGCACCCGGACGCGACGCTGTTTTATAGAGGAGAGGTGAAGGAGGAAACACAGTCGCCTACGAAATGGATAGAAACCCTAGCCAGCCAGCGAAGTGACGCGCTGGCTACCAAGCCCAATGATATTTCTAAGGCCGCTTTTGTTATTATAAAGCAAAGTCCTCTATCATATCAAGAAGGAAGAAAAAAAACCTCAACTCTTCTGGAAATTATGCATTCCGAATTGTGCCACGTAGCCTAGGGCGAGACCGATCGAAGGGCGACATCTGATCAGGGCCAAATCCAGGGTCTACAATTGTGCTACGCAGCCGAGCGCGAGACCGCTCACTTTCCTCGCGCCGATGCACTCACCCATCGCACCGAGCTCTTTCCTTCATCCTTATGTCTTTTCTTCTCTCTCATTTTCCCCATCTTGCTTTCTCTCACGCTCAAACAATGTCAGCGAACTCTCTCCCTCAGCCACTCGTACACGCCGCCCACCTGCCTATCATGCGAGCCTTCTCTCCCGGCTCGACGCTGCCGATGCCCACAACCTGCCTTGTCGGTGTCTAGCCCTCCTAGAGCCGGCACCACGCGACATGGCACCTCGACGCCCCCCGACGCGCTCGTGGCCTCCCTCTCCACTCCCACCCACTATGAGCGGTGTTGCTTCGAGGTGGCTACCAATGTCGCCGTAGGGGCTACCCGTGAGCGTTGACGAGGGGATACCCAACCGGGTTGGCCAACAAAACGAGGAGGAGCCAAACAGGTGCCTGAAGGACCCGGCTAGGAGATAGGCCCCGACCGGCTATAGGACAGGACCTGGTCTGCTACAGCAAAGGACCCGGTCTGCTACAGGACTCACTGTACAGTACTATATAACTAAAGCAGATTTAAGGCCCAATGCATGATAAAATCACCTATATTCTTCAATAAAAAAATGCCCTGAAAGCATTAGGCAGGAAGTTAAAGTTTTGTTACAAGTTTCAAATGAGACTTTAAGTGCTAAGTATTTGGGAATGCCCTCTCATGTGGGTTCTTCGAATAATGGTGCTTTTAAGTATTTGAAGGACTATTTATGGAGCAGAGTTCAAGGGTGGATTGAGAAAACAATGTCTATGGCAGGGAAGGAGGTACTAGTTAAATCAGTGGCTCAGACGGTCCTAGTGTTCTCCATGTCATGTTTCAAGCTGACTAGGGGACTGTGTAAGCATCTAAATATGTTAATAAGGAAGTTTCGGTGTGGAAGTAAAAACGGCCAAAGGAAACCTAGCTGGGTCTCATGGGAGGTGATGACACAACCAAAGAGTATGGGAGGATTGGAATTTAAGGATTTCGAGTTGTTCAACTTGGCCGTGTTGGCGAAGCAAGCATGGAGGATCCTTTAATGTCCAGAGGCATTAAGGGGCTGTTTGGTTCTAGGATTAGCATTGCCACACTTTGCCACACATTTTTGCCAAACTTGCCTAAGGTTAGTTCATCAAAATGAGAGCCACAAGTTGGTAAACTGTCGTGGAATTGTCACGTCAGATGTCCTACTGTGAAGATTTAATCGTGAGGCCAATGCATCTTTGTAGTAGCTTGAGAGGGGTTGAGCGAAATCGAGAGACGCAACACAAGATAAGGATTTAGACAGCTTCGGGCCCCGGGAAACATCATCCGGTAATAGCCCTACATGTTGTTTGTGGCTAGATCTCATTATGCTTATGAAAGAGTCGCCGGTAAGCGGGCTCTCCTCTAATTGTGTCTAGCCCTAGATATTATTGTTTCTTGCTTGTCCCTCTTGGGGTGCCCTGCCCTCCTTATATAAGTTGAAGGGGCGGGTTACATGTGGAGTCCTATTAGGATTAGGACTAGTCTATTACAAGTGGAATCCTAGTGTGCCCCTTAAGGGAAAACTCCTTATGCCTTTCCTCGTAAACCGGTCCACCATAACATGAGCCGGCCTTCTGGGCCTTGGGCCTAGTCTTCTATCTGACCCGCCGTTGGGGTCATCAGTAAGTCACCAAATACGTGCCGGGTCTTTGTGAGCCACCAAGTCCGGCCGGGTCATACTTCCGGCCGGGTCATACCGTGGGGTATATCCCCGACATTAGCCCCCAGTTTAATTTGGATTTATCCATATTAAACTGATTCTGATCACCCTTAAGTCCTTGTTATTTCCTCCTTCTGGAAATTCCGGGTCAATAGACCAGCTTCATAATCAATTGGCTTCTCACAGAAATATATTGTGAAGAATATTTGATTTAGCTCCCAATGCTTAACAAAAATATTGATCTTAAAATACTCATCTAATTTTCAGCCGGCTTGTAGAACTTGCCGGTTTATCATTGCCAAAATATCCGGTTTGTAAATATTGATAGCACCGTGTCATAATTGTTGCCGACGCGGGTCATAGTTATTGGTGACGCCGAGTTATGATTGTTGGTGACGCCGGGTCATGATTGTTGCAGACACCGGGTCAATCTGGTTTGCTCAAAACTAAAAATTGGAAAACATTTCTCCCTTATATCCATATTATCTGTAGCCCCAAAGTCTTGAGCAGTACAAAGTGATGGCTTAAGACTTGCTTCAATATAAATACTACCACTTTGAAGAAATCCATGTTTGTTCATCTTAGTCACTAATAAAGATTGAATACTCCATATATGTATCCCCCAGGTGCCGGGTTGTCATGCTTGCAGCAACCTGGGACTTGTAATTGCCTGATGCCCATAAAAACTTTTACCAATGTAGCCCCCAAGGGCTGGGTCATTAAGCAATAATGAGCAGGGACTTTGTAAATATGATCATGTAGACTTGAGCAGCAACGTGTATCCCCCAAGGGCCGTCTCAGTAAGATAATACTGAGCTGGGACTTTATATATAATTCATTGATAATAACATCATATGATGTAATCTCCACCATGGGGCTTGAAACCACGTCCATAAGGTTAAGAGCTTTGTACTCTACCAATTGAGTAGTGGATCATTCAATATAATGGACTGAGGCTTGTGTACCTTGAATTTTGACAGGAGCAATTGGTAGCCCCAAGGGCCGACTCATTATAATGTGATGAGTCAGGTCTTCAATAAGGCCAGTAAAAATGACTTTGCATTAGCCCCCAAGTGCCATGGTGCATGCTGGCAGTGACATGGGACTTGCATATTTTGATGTAATCTTAATTTGAATAATGTACCCCCAAGTGTCGGGTCGTAAGCCTGCAGCGACTCGGGACTATTCCTTCCATTGTAGAATAAATTGTATCCATTGATAAAATAATATTCATTGCACTGAAGCGACTTTGAAAACCTCAATCATAATATTGGTTATTGATAACCATAAAAAATCCAGCCATGTTGGCTATTAAAGATTTGAATAATATAATCCGATTTGGAAAACCGGTTCCTGTGATATTGAATCGCACTGCCGGTTTAGGATACCTATGCAATAAGGGTGATAACCCAATGTTTAGAAGCCAAAACTTCCAAATGTTTATGATTGTCATATATGGCGACTTATCGTCAAAAGTCGAGCCAGGTTAATAGAAACCACACACATATACTGCAGATATGAGCAAAAAGGTCTCAAGACAAAACCAAAGATTGTTTGAAAAAACTTAAACCAAATAAAAATCGAGGTTTCTGATTCGAATACGATCAGTAAACTGTTCCAAAGGGGTTAAGCTAGGATTCGAATACGATCATGTAACCCGCAGTGGCTTTGGCGTTGCGCCGATCAAGAGGGTACCGACAGCTACGTTCTCTTTGGTTCGAATACGACCTATGTTTGAACAGGAAGCCCCCAAATGACCTTGAGAGGTTTTTAACGACCCTGATTCGAATACGATCCAAGTCGGACCCAAAAGGGGTTAAGCTGTGATTCAGATACGATCAAGAAGCCCCCTAGTGAGTTTGGCTTTGAGCCGATCAAAAGGTTACGACAGCTATGTTCTCTTTGGAATACGACCTATGTTTGAACAGGAAGCCCCCTAGTGACCATAATAAGATAAGCCGTAAAGCAGGATACCCATATTTAACCACGCATCATGGCAGCAAGTTCTTTTTGGCAACCTTTAATTTTTTCCGAGAACTCGAATCTTGCGAGAGATTAATTCTTTTTGAACCGGAACTTTAAAACCGGATTTGAAAGCTTCAAAACTTTGTGGGATACAGATTGTCCTTGAGCCGGATGTTTGAACCAGGTTTGAGAGCTTCAAAAGCTTTGTAAGAGACAAATTTACCTTGAGCCGGATGCTTGAACCGGATTTGAGAGCTTCAAAGCTTTGCGGGAGAGAGATGTCTCTTGAACCGGATTTTAAACCGGAATCTTTATTTTGAACCGACAATTTTCTGATGGCCTTTAAATTTTCATCAATACGGCAGTGTCCTCTGGAATCGGGTTATCATTCCCTCCAATGACCCGGAGTTCCCGAGTCATGTCATTGTAGCCCCCAAGTCTCAAGACAACTCGAGGAGTTGGCTTGAGATTCTCCATATTTAACCGTGATATAAACCGGCATGAGTTATTCAATAGCTTAGTGATATAATAATCCCTTTTTATAGTAGACAATTTGTCCTGCATTGGAAAACTTGCAAGCCAAAGTAATTGCTCTTTTAAAGAAAGCAATATATAATATAAAAATATAATGGATGGATTTCACATGATATGTTAGGCCGGAAATTATGCGCCGCAGAGTTGATGATCACCATCATGAAGCTGAAATCAATCACGGCCGAGTGGGCCGCGGGAGAAGACAGATGAGCCGGTCGCGGTGTTGTAAGCCGGTGCAGACGGGGAGAGTCGGCACCAGCGTTGTAAGCCGGTGCAGACGGGCGAGTCGGCCGTATGTTGACGTAGACCGGACTGCGGGGGACGGCGGCCTGTGCGCGCTTTATTGGGCAATTCGTGCGGTCCTGACGAGTTGATGCGGACTGGA